CCCCCCCCCCCCAAAAGGCTTTCAGATCCACTTTTTGGTCCACTTTTTATCTAAAGGTCCAAGATTTTTCTTTAGATTGACTTATTCGTATCACCAGCGGGGCTGGAATCGTATAAAAACTGCCTACTTTGTCATTGAATAAAAAGTTGTTTTTTTTTAATCCTCTCAAAAACGCAGGAAATGCCATTTCAGATAGAGAACCCCTGGACACCCCCTAGGAAACTCGCGCCTTCGGCGTTTGCTGGACCCTCAAGCACCAGGAAGAACTCCCCATTCAAAATCCTGGCTACGGGCATGAAGTTTATAATTCAAACATGTTTACCTAGCTTGGGTATCTCCCACCAAACAGCCCACCAAGGTTGGCCCAAGTTCGAGAATGGCCTGACCAGTTTGAAGCTGTGCCTACCTTTCTATACGAATCAAATCGAACTTAAGCTAGATTTGATTTCAATTCGGCAGACTTTGGCAACTTGGGTTTGGTTCACTTGGGTTTAGACACCATCCTTATACTGAGTCCATTTTAACCGTCACTCTTGATGTTAATGTCAATGACCGAGAGACGGGCCCGTATTTTGCACACGGCACCACCGGTAGCTCGACAGCCCTTCAACTCGTGCAGACAACTAGACTTTGTAAGCGATCTGTTCATGCATGAAATAAGGTCTCGGTTAGAAAAGACGGGATCCGACCAAGCCTTGATGAGCCGCCAACACACAAAGGGTCAAAGTGGCTCAAAATGGCCGTGTCTTAGTCTCCACTAAACTTCTTTTGCGGGCTGAATACATCGTAGAAATCGGCCTTAAAATGGTATTAATTGGCGAGAGCAAGGAGGTTAACCTCCTTGGCGAGAGAAGGTAGCGGCCGTCGACGATCCAATTGCAATTGGCCCGCCAGAATTTGATCGTCGATGGCCGGCTACCTTCTCTCGCCAATTAATATCCTTTTCGGGCCGATTTCTACGATTGCTTCAGCCGCAAAAGAAGTTTAGTGGAGACTAGCCGTGTGTAGAGCCCTGGTATAAACTGTAAAATATACTATAATGTAAGACGTTCTCTTGAGGTAAATACATGTAGGTAACTGCAGCTATGATCTTCCTCTCTTGTTGGTTTGTATCTTATTTAAAGAACCACAGGTACCTCAACCAGCAAAAGTAAAAACTTGTCAGACACAGTTTATGATGTGTATAACTTATATTAAGAGAACAAATAACTCAACGGACAGTTTACCCAGACACATTACCTACTCTTCCACACTTAGGCAATTCAAAGCTCACTGTAGAATTCTTTTGTCCTGATTTTCATTTTTGTCCCGACTCTACACTAATATCCTTTAGTAACCCTGAGCCTTCCATCTATTCCAACTTGTGTCCACACATTCATGCACGATTTGCTGCTAGGTAGGAATGACTTGTTGAGTTATGGGTTAAAATAGAGATATTTCAACCCATACATTGTAGAATGTGTTCATATAAAACCATTGGACTCACCTATCATGATTGTTCTCAGTTCCCTCTTGAAACAAGTAGCCTTGTCCAAGTCACCGAAAGGCAGTCTATACTTCAGCCATAATCAATACATGAACGTAACTGTCACACAGAGTACATTGTGACTTTCTTATGGTCTTATGTGATAAACTCTCCATAGTGTAGGTCTGTAAGTTTACAGCTTGTTACAGTTACTACAGTTTGTAAACAACGGGCGATGTTAAAAAACATGACGGCAAAACGTGTAAGAAAACCTTGGGAAACAGGTTTCACGCCAGGTGAGTCACATACCTGCACGTACACGTGCATGGATGCCGCCTGCCGGTCCTTTCAGTTAGTGCAGGTAATAATAGAGGAATACCATAGCAGATTGAGTTGCCAAGCTGCCATTGTTTGTCTTTTGGCGTCCACTGATACACATTCCATTTAGGAATAGGGGGGGGGGGCGCGACCTGTTCTGGATACGTCTTTGTTCATCCCAAATGGGTCTCGGGCAAAAGCACCAGTTCTGAGTTGTGGACAAATTTTTGGTTCTCACCATGTCGGGAGGTCCATTGTCACTTCCGTGACCGAAATCCCGTAGAAGATAGCAGATATTTCATATCACAAGGTATAGAATTGCCATCATTCACCATTAACCCTACCT